TGCTGCGTGGCGGGCCTGCCCTCGTCGTGTGCGAGATACAGTCTCGTAAAACCTGGAACGGCGTTCAGTTACGCCCTTCGGAGGTTGGCCGCCCCGCCCCGATTTGTGTAGCGTAGGGCACGCAAGATAGGGCGCTGATGTAGTAGTGTAGGCGTCGGACGCGGTGGGGTGCGGCGGTGCGGCGTCGGAGCCGCGAGCACGGCAAGCTCGTATCGCATGCTCCGTGCCCAGTCCTGCTATTTAATCCCCCAGGCCTTCATTGATCCAATGCTCGTAGAAGGTCAGGCGACCTGTTTCCTCGTCCGGATTTTAATACCAGCCCCCGGCCTGTCCCGCTCCGCTCCGCGCGCCGCTCCGCGCGCTTCTCTTCTCGACTCGGTGGCTCGCGTAACAGCCGAGAAGCGTCGTTACATCGCCCTGTCCTTGTCGCTCTCAAGGCTCTCGCCTCAGGGTGCGAGAGAGACGGAGCGACGGACCGCTCCTCTTGATCGCTCGGCAGCTGGTCGCACCTGCTCCGCTTGGCACCTGAACCTGAGCGAACTAGTACCGTCCGAGCCGAACGGCGGACTAGACCGCCGGTCCGGTAGTGGCGAGCCGCGGTCGCGAGCGGCACCGGGCACTCACTCCACCTCGCCGAGCCTGCTAGCCCAGCCCGGCCCGGCCCAGCTTATTGCGAGCTCGATGGATGGACTCGCTGCCAACTGTGCTCACGGACGAGTACGCCGGTCGGTACACTGCGAGCAACGCGGGGCCGTCCGCCGCGGCACGCGCGGCCCCGGGGCGGGAAGTCCCAAACGTCCCGGACGCGAAGCGCCTCGCCGTATGTGTAAACGCCTTTATTTTTTGTTTCCCCGCTTTTGTTTTTGTTGTTTGCCTTCGCAAGGTGACTCCCGTTCGGCCGACGGCCGTACCTCGGCCCGTCCACATTACATCCGACATGTGTACGCGATAGGATGGCATTAGTGTCTGCCAGCTCGGCCTGCCTGGCCGCCTGGCCGCGTCCGCGCGCCGCGACAGGGGCATCCTGCTGCCTGCTGTCATCGTCTCGACGACGAGGCGGTCTGCTCTGGCTGCTCTGGCTTATCGCGGAAGTCACGGGCGAAGTGGACCGTGCCAAGCAGAGCCAAGCCTGGCCAAGCCCGGCAGCTGAACCGCAATGGCTGCGGCCGGCCGGCAGCAACTTGGCTTCACATTCACATTCACATTCACATTCAGGCAGAGCGCACCGGACCAAACTCGACGCGGCCGCGCGCGGAGTTTGGTGTAGTTGGGCGTCCCTGCGCCCTGTGTGACCTCACGGGCGTCCACCTCGGCCGGGCGCTGCCGCGGGCGCGGAGAGCTGAGAGCGACAGAGACGGAGCTATTGTTCCCGGAATGGCCGCGGCCGCGGGCGCGGGCGTCGGTCCCTCGTGTTGGCCATCTAGGCGAGCATGGGCTCGTCGTCCCGGCACTCCCCATTCACGGCTTTGCATTTTAGCGATACGCAGCGCGGCGCTTTGAACTCCGTGGCGCGGCCGAGGCTGCGGCAGTGACGCTCCGTCTCTCTCGCACTCATGGGGCGTCTCCTTGCGGTGCGAGAGAGACGGAGCGATGATGCTGCTGCGGTGGCCGCGCATTATCAGGGCCCATGGCCCCATGTCGGCAGGCTTGGCGCGGCTCGCCACGCCGCGGTCGCAGATCAGCTGATGGGCTGCCATGGGCTGCGCCAGGCCGTCAGGCTGCGCGCCGCGCCGCGAATGATGGTGCACGCCGTTGCGTCCCCGCGCCGTGACGCCGCGACGCCGTGACCGGGCCGCTCGGTGTGACCACAAAGAACGCGCCCCGCCCCGCCCCGCCCCGCCTGGCTTGGCCTGGCCTGGCCGTGACGAAGTTCACCCGTCACAACGTGACGGTCGGCGCGCCCGCCGCCGCCTGGGTGGTCGCGCCACCGCCGCCGCCGAGGAGAGTCCCACGGGCTCACGTATCGCCGCCGCTCTGCCTGGCAGTGCACTGTCATCGCCACACCCGCCAGTCTCCTTCGCAGATGGGTGGCCGTCGCGTACGAACCACGTACGTGCGCGCGGTGCCGACGCGGTGCTGCCATCAGGCTGCCTTGCTGCGGGGCGCGGCCGAGGCGCGAGAGGCGCGGCGAGGCAGGCGCACCGATTGCAGCGGAGCTCGATCCTCGCCGACGGAGTGGTTGGAGGAGGACGGTGCGGCACCGGCACCTGACCTTCATAGGGGCGGGGACGGTCTGCAGTGCGGCTCCCCGCCTTCGCCCCGCCCCGCCCCTGGCGCCTAAGGGTGGGTGGGGTGGCGCGCGCAACAGATGTCACGCGGTCCGACAGACCCATCCCTCCTTTGTCGTAGTCCCGCACTCTGGGGCTTCCCCAACACCTTTGGGCCACTTTGCCCCCCGTGTCCTGCGGACGCCCCTCCGACGCCCCGGCAGAGTCCTTCAGGGACTTGCTTCGGGGCGGGGCTCTCGGGAGGCTCGGAAACGTGGGCCGCCTTATTTTGACGGGTACCGCCCGACGTGCCCAGGCATGCGGCCAGGCGGGCCAGACGCGTGCGGGTCCCTGCCCCTGCCCCTGCCCCTGCCCCTCCTGGCCGCGACCAGAGCCCTTCGAGGCTCTCTCTCGCACCCCTACGGGACCCTACGGGACGCCCCACGAGTGCGAGAGGCAGAGCCTTCCGGAACGAGTCTGCTGTGCCTTGAAATAGCGCCTTGAGAGCGCGCACGCTGCTCCAGCGTTACGGCCCGCGGGCCTGCTGGCGTTTTTTACCGTTTCCCTATCAGCGGCCGCGACAGGCAGGCGCGGCGGGCGCCACAGCCCGGGGATCAAGCGGCGGCGTGTTCGCGAGGGCCTTATCCGTGTAGCGCGGTGGGGCCTGCGGGGGCGGCAGCGCGGCAGCGACACCGGCTATCGATCCGCAGCCTTTATCACGAGCATGAGGGCTTCCGCGAGGAGGAAAACAGTATCGGCGGCTGGCGACTCAGAGCCAGGTGGGCGAGTAGCGCCAGCGCAGCCAGCGTCGCCAGGGTGCGGCCCTGCGGCCGTGCGGCGCGACCGCGCGTGGGCGGAGGCGGCGGAGGTGGCGGAGGTGGGTGGGGGTACCCGCCGCGTCGGACGCGTTCGACGCGGGCCTTGCTCAGTTGCCTTTCGCCGCCGCGCCCGAGACAAGGACTCTTTTGTTTGATCGGCGAGTACCTGTCAGCGACAGGCGTGGCCGTGGCCGTGGCGTGTCCCCGCCATGGCGGATGGCGTCGCGACGCACCTCCCCGTCGACCGGTCCGCGTTGTGGCGGCGCTGGCGGGGCGGCGTCGGCCTGACGCACGTGTCCCTTGAAGGTGCGTCGCGCTCGACTCGTCGCGCCCAGCCGAGCCGAGCCGAGCCGGTCCACACACAGCGCCGTGTTATCAGAGTGATAGCGGAACAGGCGTGGCGGGCGGGGCGGGGCGGGGCGGGGGCAGGACGCGGCAGGACAGGCCGCAGTGGCCATGTGCGCGCCGTGCGGCAAGGTGCTCGCCTGGGGGCTGCCTCCCATCCGCATCTTGTGGCGACAGTCTCCAGGTAGGGGTCGCGCCGACGTCAAGGTCGCCGTCAAGGCCGACGCTGCCGCGGACGCCGACGTCGGGGATGACGGCGGCAGTGACTGCGGCTCCGACTCCGGCTCCGAGGGGTACGACTCGTCCGGGCCGTACTGCCGGGCCGCGGCCACTGACGGCACGGACCGCGCGGACTGCGCGCCCGCTCGCCGAGGCAGCGGCAGCCCCAGCCCCAGCCCCAGGGCACCCCGGCGCAGCCACAGCGTCGTCGTCCGGTCGACGCGCCTCAAGAGCCACCGGTGGCCCGGCAAGGGCACCAAGGGCTGGTGGCTCGGCTCGCTCCCCGGACTCTACTCCGGCGGCAGGCCCTGGAAGGCGCCGAGGAGGAGGGCGGCGTCAGGTATTGCCCGTTGCCCCCGTCAGTGCTGCTGTTTTGCTTGCCGTCTTGCCGTGGCGCCCTGGTGCCGGCTCCCCTGCTGCCCGCGCGCATCCTCGCTACCAGCCTCGACTTCCCTCGGCCTTTAGGGTGATAGTTTGATGTCGGGTTGGGAAAAGGAGGGAATGCCTTGATTCGGACACCGCCCCGGCCCGCCGCGCCGGAAGGCCTTGGAGGGAACGGGGACGAGGACGAGCAAACACCCCGGGCCGGGCCGGCGCGGTGCTGCAATGCAGGCGGCGAGCTGACTGGGCCGGACTGCGGGGCGCCGCGTCGCCGCGTCGCCTCGTCGGGGTGCGAGTGCGAGAGAGACAACTCGGCGGAGCGCGGTACGCGATGGCAGTGGCATGGCGTGCACTGGGTGGCGTGCTGCGTGCGGAGCGGCGTGCAACGTGCAGCGGCGTGGTCCAGGACGGCCCTGCCGCCTTGCTGCCCTGGTCGCCGTGCACTGCAAACTGAGCGTTGCGCAACCGGGACCGCGCACCGCGCCGCGCTAAGTACCTGCCTGCCGGGCCGTCCGCGAGTCCGCCCCCAGCGCAGCTCGCACCGCACACCGCATCGGCTTGTTATCGTACTTCTGCAAGTGGACTCGGCTTGGCTTATTCTAGTGACAGCTCGGCTCTCAGCTGTTCCTGTTCCTCAGAATTATTATCTTTTTCTTTTTAAAGACTGCGCGCTGCGCTGCGCTGCGCGTCTAGGCGGACAGGACAGGGGACAGCGCTCAGGCAGGGCGGCCGCGTGGGTTGAGTTGCCTGGTTGCTCCTGGTCAGAGTAGAGTGCTGCTTGCGGTCGCTTTTCATTGCACTCTTTTTGACTTTTTACGCGCGAAAGCGTGGAAGGGAGAAAGGGCGGGCGCCAGTGCTCGGCAGTGCTTCAGTAGAATGTTTCTGTGGTGTAGGGCTTGGGCTAGCCAACGTCAGTATCAGAGTGATCGAAGTGTGGAGGAGGAGAGAGGGCTCCGCTCTTCTCAGCTCTTCGAAATGAATGAGTGTGATTGCTCTCGTGAATGACATTCTGTTTTGCTTTGTGTTACAGGGGTCCTGGAGATGACTGCCACAGATAATACCATTAGATTCAGCGGCCATACTTTGGACAAAGCCACAAAAGCCAAAGTTACCCTTGAAAATTATTATTCCAACCTTATTGCTCAACATTTGGAGCGAAAACAAAGGTACATATATATTATTACTCTTGTAGGCTTTGTAAGTACATGATTCTTTATGTGGTTTTTATTAATGTTATCTGTGCATTTTTCACAGGTTAGCCAAACTAGAAGAAAGTCTGAAAGATGAAGGTCTTTCAGAAGCCCAAAAGCAAGAGAAGAGATTGCAACATGCCCAAAAAGAGACAGAATTTCTACGGCTTAAACGCTCCAGGCTAGGAGTTGAGGATTTTGAACCTTTAAAAGTCATTGGCCGAGGAGCTTTTGGTGAAGTAAGTAATTTGCATCTGACCTAAAAAGACTTTCCAAGATACTGTTAAACAACCATTGGTATCCTTTACATGATAAAACTTTTTCACAGGTCCGTCTAGTTCAAAAGAAGGATACAGGGCATGTGTATGCAATGAAAATTTTGAGGAAAGCTGACATGTTAGAAAAAGAACAAGTGGCTCATGTGAGAGCAGAACGTGATGTGCTTGTCGAAGCTGACCATCAATGGGTTGTCAAAATGTTCTATAGCTTTCAAGTGAGTTTACTTTTAAGTCACCTCTTGGGCTGAAGAAATTCAATTCTTATTGTCTTTTGTTGCATAGCTTGCTGTAACTTCCTCGATTATAATTCCTTTTGTTCTTATTTCTTCTCTAGGATCCTATTAATCTCTATTTAATTATGGAGTTCCTACCTGGAGGAGATATGATGACACTCCTAATGAAGAAAGATACATTGTCAGAAGATTGTACACAATTCTATATTACAGAGACTGCTCTTGCTATTGATTCTATTCATAGATTGGGTTTCATTCACAGGTATGGTTTCCAGTATTTATTTTTATTTTTATTGGTAAGACATCACTTTTGCTTATTTGTCGCAATTTTTGTTTCTTTTGCAGAGATATAAAGCCTGACAATCTGCTGTTGGATGCTCGAGGGCATATCAAATTATCAGATTTTGGTTTATGCACAGGATTAAAGAAATCTCACCGCACAGATTTCTACAGAGATCTCAGCCAAGCTAAGCCTTCCGATTTTAGTAAGTTTCTAACTTTTCCCTTTTTTAAAAATAATTAATGAAGGCATGGATTTAGAAGAAATGTCATTAAAATAATGTACAGCATTTAATGCATTTACAGCCTCAAGTCCTATGGATAGTAAACGCAAAGCTGAAAGCTGGAAGAAAAATAGGAGAGCTCTTGCTTACAGTACCGTTGGAACTCCTGATTACATTGCTCCTGAGGTTTTCTTACAAGCAGGCTATGGCCCTGCATGTGATTGGTGGAGTTTAGGCGTTATTATGTATGAAATGCTTATAGGTACGGATGATTTCAACTGTTATGCAATATTCAACTGAGATAGTACATGACAGTAATACAATTTAAATGTCTTCTTGTTGCAGGTTATCCTCCCTTCTGTAGTGAAAATCCTCAAGAAACTTATCGGAAAGTAATGAATTGGCGAGAAACATTATCTTTCCCACCAGAGGTGCCCATTTCAGAGGAGGCACGTGAAACCATAGTCCGCTTTTGCTGTGATCCAGATCGTCGTTTAGGTTCTCAAAGAGGCCTAGAAGAGCTGAAATCAGTTCCTTTCTTCCGTGGAGTAGACTGGGATCATATTCGAGAACGCCCAGCAGCTATTCCAGTTGATGTACGATCGATTGATGATACTTCTAACTTTGATGACTTCCCCGATGTCAAACTCGAAATTCGTAAGTTTCCATTTTACGTTTTGTTTCTTCATGTAAGCTTAAGATTCATCTCGTCAATATTCTTTTATTTCCTTTTAACAGCTGCAGCTCCTTTGCCGCAAGATGGGGAAGTCAACTACAAGGATTGGGTCTTTATCAATTATACTTTCAAACGGTTTGAAGGTCTCACCCAAAGAGGTACTCCTACGAAGAAATGAATCTCAAGTTACCAACTATCCTATCTGACTGCCGGATAGGCATTTCCAACGAAAGACTCTTTAATTATAATCATTTTGTTCATTTTTAGTACCACCTATCAGATGACAATACTGTACATATATAGTGCTCTCTTTTCTTTACCTAAAGGCGCCTCTTGTGTGAATGTGTGTGCACATCCGATGTGCTTTGGGCAGCTGTCTCCTTTCTCTGTATCCGTTCATTGTACTGGTCAAGGACATGAACAACAATTGACAACCGTTTTCTATAGATTTCTCCTTCAAAACTGCTCTTAATTCATCTTACAATTGTTTTGCTGACAGCTTTGTCGCTGTGTATTTTTTTTCTTAAATGTCTTTACTAATGTTATAGTATGTTGTATATCTGTTTCGTAAATTATTTATGTTGTCGCTTTTATTGTGCAGTAACTTTGTTTGTTTTTGTTTGTTTTTTTAAGTCCTATTTTGTCCAGTATGCATATTGAGGCACAATAATAATGATAATAATAGTGATTATTATTTTTTTTTAAATAAATAAGTAGCATGGAAAAAAATGTTTTCCATATTAAACTTCCAATGCCTTTTGTGGTACATATGTGATTGAGTTTGTAAAGCAGGATGTTATCGTTTATTGGATTACTTTGGTACATGACCTTGCTTGTTTTTATTTAGTATATGTTCTAGGGTGCAGACATTCCTAATCAATTAGTCAACCTCCTTTCCAAATGAGGCACTTTGTTTGTATCGCTTGTTCTATGCTTGCATTCTTCTCTCTTTGCATGAAGAAGAGTATTATTGTACTTAGATGAGGCAAAGGTAACATTTGTACACTCGTAGAAGAGCGACTACTGTACTTGTATCTTTTAATTGGAAACTATTGGTCATTTAGTCACATCTCCTGAAATTGTGAGGTTTTCCTGATCTGCCCCCTTCTCCTTTGAATGATTTCTGCACTCAAAAATATATGAGATCTTAATTCACTCATAGAGAAAATTAATAATGCTAATGTATTGGCGGGTTATGTCTCTAACCCTTTGGCTGTTGTAAAGACGAAAAGTACCTTGTTTTTTAATGGTTTGAAGACCACAAATCGTAGGCAACGGCAACATTGACTAATAGTGGATGAAGATGGTATATAGGTACCTTTCTTTAATGATTGTGATGCTAATTGCCAAGGGGTTAGCTTTATCTCAGTTGAAGTGAATGATAAACATATCAGTTTAGTGAGATGGATTGTTACCGCATGTGATATGTGTGAGCAGCTGTGGAAAGGAGCCAGTCAGCCTCTTTGCAGCCAGTTATTATTTGTAATAATGTTTGAACCCCAATTCCTTATCTCTAGTAAGATGGTGATATTGTATGTTTATGTTTATACATTCGATATTACTCTTCTCTCACGGTTCAGAATCCCATGAGTTGGACACGGAGTCACTCTATTTCATATTGTATATTTTTTATTTGGCCATATTTTTTTTCTTCTATTTTGCTACAGATTGGTTATTTTAAAAATGCAATCAATTATTTTTAAACGTCTTGTGAAATTACTGTTGAGATTGAATGGTCTTTGGAAGGTCTCTCCTTTCTGGCTCCTTATTTGATTGATTGTGCTGTTGTTTGTGTATTTGTATGACTGTTTTAGCATGATAGGCGGTGTGTACATTTGTGTCCTGTGTGAATGTGTGCTTTCACGCATTAGAGTGCACACTTAGTGCAAGCATAGATTTCTACAAATGAATAATCTCTATTTATTTAACGTAAAAGTTATGCTTTTCACCTTGTAGAGGAGCACTGATTGTTGTACATAACAAAATGTTGAAAAACACTCTTTACTGAGAGACAGTCTTAATAAAATGCATTCATGCGTTTTGGGGTTGTTTGTGCAAAGTTCGTGGTATTTAGTGCCAATAATGGAGATAAGAGCTTAAACAGACGTAAACTTTTGAATGTGATTTTTCTTGTGTCCATGCGAAATAGTGAAACTTTAAAACTATATCCATAGGAGACAAACCAGTTCTCTTTTAAAGCTAAATTATTAATCTTGATGTGGTACATAGCATAATCATGTGTACAAAAAAAGTTGTCAATAGGAAGTAAAGTTTGTTTGATTTTTAACCTGCGTTTTCATGATCCCTGCCTCATACTTCACATCCATTTCACTTCTAACATGTGAAGCGATTCCTGCTCAAGCCTATCTCTTGAGTGAGGGAAGGCGCCAGGCGCCAGCACTGAACTAGTCGTGCGGGTTTACACCACCCACCACGGGACTCAAACCCAATCGTGGCGCTGACACCGAGACATGCCCTCTTCCAAAGTTCCCAGACCCACACTGTGACCGCAGCAACGCCCGCGTCCTTGCCGCCTTGCCGGTGTGTTAAGGCTGTTAAGGCCGAGGAGCCCCTGCGAGAGGACGGACGGCAACCCGTCCAGCAGGAGAGTGGGCGTGTGGCCTATCTGCCGCTTGGCAGGCGCTCAGACTCGGCGCCGCAGTGCGCTCGCGCTTGCTGCGATTCGTCGCTCTGTCTCTCTCGCGCCCTCGGGACTTTCCGTAGGGTGCGAGAGAGACAGAGCAGGGGCCCGTCGTCGTCGCCACACGACATTCGCAGTGTAGCCGCAGTAGCCGCCCCACGCTATCACCCTCCGCGGGCTCTGCGCACAGTGTGCAGTGCACTCTGTGGCCACCGCGCCGGCTGTGCCGGCAGTGTGCGGCCAGTTTGCGCGCCACGGCCGCGTGTGGACGGACCGCCGGTAGCACGTGCCCGTCGACGACTGCACCAGGACCGCGTCGACCGCGTCCGCGTGGCTCGCTGCTCGCGCGGATGCGGACCGCGACCCCCTGCTGAGACTCGCCCCACCGGGCACTGCGGGGCACTGCGGGGCACTCGCCCAGTGGCCCAGCGCAGCCACATGGAGGCAGCCATGCGGAACGCGGCGGGGCCGCGCCTGCTGCGCCTGCTGCGCCTCGCGCTGGCGGCGTCGCTGTGCGCGGCCGGCACCACGGCCGGCACCGCCATCGAGCGCTCGCCCGCGGCCACTGCGCGGCCCGCACCCGGTGAGTCTTGCTGCTTGCTCCCTGGGGCCTGGATCCTGGACCCTCCCTGGACGGCCCGGAGGCGGAGGGGTGGAGGGGTGGAGGGGCACGGCCTAACGAGGCCCACCGCCCCTGGCACCGGCAACTTTTAATCGGGGTCGGCAGTGATGACCGGAAGTTTGAACTTCCGAGTTGACGACGCGACCCCCGGACGCCGGGGCCCTCTGCCGTGGCCCTCTGCCGGGACCCGGGTCACTGAGGGCAAGGCCTAAGTGCTCGGGCCACTGTCAGTGTTGTCAGAAAAGTAGGAAGCAGTCAGTCCTATCTCATCATCATCCCTCCCGCCCACTCTGAAAACTTAAATTAGAACTCAGTGTTCATCTGTTGGTGTATTTTTGTAAGTATGCAAGTACTGTAGATTGGAGCGGTGATAGTACATCCCCAAAAAGTTCCTCCAAGGGAATTCTCAATTCAAGTGCACCTGTATAGGTACCTTACTGCCTAACGGCAAATGCATGGTTTTCTGAGTACCAGACAGCTTCTCAACCCGCAGCGATAACTTGCCCTGGCAGGACAACGAACGGCGTGTTCGGCTCGGGATGCCTCTCCCCTTCCTTTCTGCCAACACTGACTTGTTCCTGCCAACGTTCCAGCGGCCGCGGCGGGAGGCGGGCAGGCCGTGGGGCAGGCCGTGGGGCAGGCGGCGCAGCGGGTCCACGCGGCGCTGCCGTGCGACCGTCGCTGCGAGCTGGAGTGCACCAAGTACGGCCTGCAGGGCGGCTGCCGGGCGGCCATGTGCGCGTGCTACGTACCGTCCGTCGCGTCCCTGGAGGGCGGCGACCGCGGCGACCGGTGAGCTCGCCGTCGCATCGTCGCTCGCTCCGTCGCCAAGGTGATGATAGAGCGTCCTGATGGTTGTGCCTCCAGCCGCGTGAGGAGGGCCGCTACGCGCCGCCGTCCGCAAGGCCGTCCTCAAGGCCGTCCCCAAGGCCATCACCGTCCACGCACCGGGCCGGCGCAAGGCCACCAAGGCCACCAGGGCCCCGGCGGCCACCACTGGCGGCAGAGCGCGCCAACGAGGAGGCCCGGGCACAGGTGGGTGCCGGTGGCGCCGGTGGTACTTGAGGTCGCGTTCGAGAGGGAGGGGAAGGAGGGGAGGGAGGCTGGTTAAATAGCCATCCGTTATCACGCTCTCCAATACCGTGTCAGACACACAAAGCCTCTCTTTATCCCTAATCTTTTGTTTGCTTGTTTACTTTGAGCTCGGTTTTTGTTTTCGTTTCCCGGCTTTCGCAGGTCTGCGACCGCGGCCACGCGCGACTGAAGTCTCTGAAGCCTCTGGCGGGGAGCCCCCTCCAGACAAAGCCGTCCAGCAGCAAATGGGTGACGAGGGGCTTTCTCCGCGAGGGGCGTGGCGGGCGCGGCGCGGGGCCTTGTCAACGAAAACAACTTGCCGGGGGGATGACCCGACGCTTTCGCCCCCCGCCTGATGAGGGCGGTGGAATTATTCATCGTGTCGGAAATAAAAGCGGGCTGCGCGCAGGACGAGGGCAAAGGCGGTGAGTCCGTTTTTGGAACGTTTGAAACCTTGCAGCGGTCGGTGGCCCTCGGTCTGCCGGTCTGCCCCTAGGAGTGCACCTCGTCTGCTCTGCGACGCCTCCCACATGGCGGGGACGGTCCTGGGGCCTCTGGTCTAACCGCCCATACCCCGCGCGACCGGCGACGGGCGCTACCCCGCGTCGCGGTGCGGTGCGGCGCGGCGCCGATACCCCGCGCGCGCGGCCGACGCTGAAAAGAACAACACGCCTCGTCTGGTCGTGTGTGCGCAAACAGTGGGATGCAAATTTGCATAATGAGCACGCGCGCTTCGAAAAAAATTGAGGCATTGTTTGCAATAAAAACACAAACTGGGTGCCATCCACACTCACATGGCCGAGCACGTGGCGCGCTTGTTATTAACTGGATGTGACCTCCACTGGCGTTGCAGACAATGGCGGAGGAGTCGAACCGCCATCATCCACGCGTCAAAACCGGTCCACCCACAATGCGTGTTTCCATCCGTGCTCGTCGGGCCGGCCACCACACTGTAACCCCACTCACTACGTACCCTGTGCTGTACGTGCTCCCGGCAGTACGTGACCAATCGTGAGAGTTATTGGCTGCTGTTTTCAAGAAGGCGTGCGTAGGAGATAGGGATAAGGCTCGATCGCGGTTGCGTCGGGCATGATTCATGTATATTGGAGGGGGGGGGGATGCGGCTGATGGGACACCGCGGTGCCGTCGTTTGGTGACGAGCGCCGCCCTCGCCGCTCTGTCTCTCTCACGGGACGCCCCACGAGTGCGAGAGAGACAGAGCGACGAGGGCGCCCGGAATCAGCCAGCAGGAGGTCGCGACTTCGGCGACTCGCTCGCGAGCCAATGGGGCCGCGAGCGTGTTTCGCGTCCCGGGCGTTTCGCTTGGCGTTTCGCGTCGCGCTTCGCGTCGCGCTTCGCTCGCCTCGAGAGGGTACAGTAACGACAGCGCATCGGGGCGGGGGGGGGGGGACTCTGTGCTGATGCCGACACATAAAAGGGACTCAACGCAGCTAGGGGTCGCACTCGAGCCACGTGTGGGCGTGGGGCGGCGTGGAGCGGCGTGGAGCGGGGAAGGGGTGCGCGTTTGTTTGTGGTCCTATCTTGAATACATGGGAAGCTTGGGTTTAGGTATACAGGTCGGGGGTGAAGGGGAAAGGGTAAAAGGGGGGGGGGGATGAAATCGGTCACGTAGTTTGGGCCCCGCCCCCCAATGCTCGTTGCGGGGGACTTGAGGCTGTCGCGCTGCGGAACCAACAGAACGCTGTGCTGGCCTGGCCACAGTGGGCCAGAAGACCGTGGAGGCGGTCAAAACCCTACACGCGTTTTGAGCTCCAGAGTCGCTAAACAGGACTCGAACCGAACGTGTGACCCCACCAATGGATTCCTTGTTCGGAGAGCAATCCATTGGTGGGGTCACACGTTCGGTTCGAGTCCCATTTAGCGACTCTGGAGCTCAAAACGCGTCTAGAGTTTTGGCCGCCTCCCCGGTCTTCTGGCCCACTGTGCGGGCCAGGCGGCCGGGGCGGCCGGGGCCAGGCATGCTGACTGTCGCCCTGCCGCGTCGAGTGAGTGGTGGTTACCTACCAAAGCAACCCGGTGACGCGCTGCCGGCGACGACTGGAGCGCGCTGCTGGAAGTGGATGGGAGTCTCTGTTTGCTGGCGCAGCGCGGTGGAGGAATAGACACCAACCCGAAGGAGAGCAGCTCAAATAAGTGAATTCATTCAGGCGTATGTTTATTATGCTCTTTATTGTCGTTGGCGAATTATGCCCTTTAGAAAGGCATTCATCTCGGGCAAAAAAAAATCTGTGTTGCTTTCACGCCCTTCGGCGATCATGAGTGTGGCTGTCCGTTCACAGACCGGCAGCTCCTCAGAGGCCATTCCCGCCATCGTCGCTCTGTGCCACGTCGCGCCGTCGCGGAATGTGCAAATCTAGAGAAGCATGTGGGACGATGTGGGTTCGGAAACGACCGAAGAGCCCGTCATAGAGCCACTCTTTATCTGCAGAGTGTCACGCCACTTGCCTCACGCGCTTATGCCTTCTGGACTCGAGTTTCGAGAGTCAAAGCTCGCCGACACCAACCTAGTTTGTTCATAAACATCAGGAACAATGGGGGAAAACCGCGTTGAAAAAGAAAAATGAAAAACGTGTGTTGGTTTCACTGGTCGCACGTGTGCGTGGGGGTGCTATCTGGCCCGTGATTCAGGCCGAGCTGCAGTCGCGTGAGCTGCGTGAGCCCTGCCGGCCCTGCCGCGCGTTTCGGCCGGTCAAGTGCATCGACGCTCAGGCCGCTTCCGAAGCGTGCCTTCGTGCCGCTGTCTCCGTCTCCCTCGCACTCACTGGGCGTCCCGCAGTCCTCGCAGGCCGCAGGGGGTGGGGGGAGGGGGGGCAGAGCCGGGGACCACTTTTCGGAGCCAGGCTGCTGGTCGGCCTTGGCGTTATCAGGGCCGCGGCTCCACGCCGATTGACGACCTGGCCGCGCCCCGCCCCGCCCCGCCCCGCCCGCCCCGCCCCGCCCCGCCCCGCCCCGCCCAACCCCGCCCCGCCCCGCCACCTCCAAACCGCTGGAAAGGTTTATGTGCGTGAGGTGCCGCGGACAATATAGCGCGGCTCTGACCAGCCCGGCCAGCCCGGCCAGCCCGGCCAGCCCCGTCCGGCGAGAGCGAGGCAGCGAGATTAGCAGTCGATAACGGGTTGTATAGCCGGCCGTTTGATTGATCATATCGGGGCTGACGGCGGGGCGGCTGGCCTCGCCAAGGGTTGGCCGCGCTGGCGGCGCCGGCCACGGGGCGGCCGAGCGAGCACCGCGCAACCGAGCGCCACCGAGTCGGACCGAGTGGGACTGAGTCAGCGCGGTGGCTCGTTTTCTTCTTGACGCCTGAAGCCTGAAGCGAAGCGCGGAGATAACAGGTGGAGACGCAAATCCGATGCGTGCCGACTTGCAGCTCGGAGAAAGGAGACCCGCGCGTCTCGGCGCATGCCGCCGCCCACAGTCTTGCACGCTTAAAACCTTACGAAATATTTTGAGCTCGTCACTGGTGAAACAAAGGCATTAAAATTATGCGCTGAAAGGGCGTAAGCGGTTTGCGCCCTTGGAAAGGCGTGAATCGTTAAGAGGAGGCTAAAGTGAGCCCCGCCGAGCGCGCTGGCCGGGGCGCGCCGACTCGGGAGGCAATGTAGACCGATACGTAAATTTTGTTTTCTCGAAAACGCCTTGACCAAAAATTCTGCAACTTTGCACGTGCCTTCCTAAAAAGTCATCCTTGCCGCCGGTCAGGTTAGATTTTCCCCCGAAAATCTGATGCGTTAAATTTCTAGCTCAGAAATTTTGAATGAAGTTGAGCCACAGCCAGAGCGGCTGTGCGCAAGGTATGGAAATTTGGCGACCGCCACCCTTTAGGTAATCTTGTTCTGTAACGCGTCTCCAATTTTCACGTCGATGCCTGTAACGATGCGCCGTAATTTTACCGAACCGTGAACCTCTACATAGCGTCCAGAGGTCTCCTGGCCTGCGCCTTCTGGCCTGGCCGGGGGGAATAAGGGACCGGCCCCGTCCCCCGCGCCACTCCACCCACCGCGCTCCGCCCGGCCGTCCTGGCGAAACTGTCTTCCGATTCATACCGCACCGCTCAGCATTTCGCGTCCCGAGACCAGCTTGCCGGGCCTGCCGGGCCGGGCCACGGCTGCCGGCCGCGCGTATGTAGTGGAAGCGCGCACCAAATGGAAGACCAAAACGAGAACTTGTTTCAGGTGGTACCAAGGGTGCTTCTAGTCAAGTTATTAATGCTCATTACAGTTGATTACAATTCAACAGAGAAATTTTGTTCGAGCGCCTACCTCTATTAGCCTCGGGAAGGCACAGCGTTAGAAATGTATATTTTTAATTTTTGCAAACTAAGCTGTGAAAACCTGGCGGGCGAAGGAGCCACAGCCGTGGCGCGCTTTCCACCGCGTGCTTGATGAAGTGTCCCTTGACTGAGTGTTGTGACTGCCGTATCGCGACACGCGAGACTCAAAGGGTTGCCGCGCAGGCCCTGAAGAGAGAGAGTAAAGAGGAACAGGCACGGAGAGAGGACAGGAAGAACGGAGACGGAGGAGACAAACTGAGAGACACAGGCGCGACAAGCAGGTAGAACACACAAACGTACATGATTAGGTCCTTTCTTTGGCCCTTGTAATAACTTCAAATAATTTGTACACCCGATGTGAACGCTTATCATATTTATCAAGTGTTGTTAATTCCGTTGACGACCGCCAGGTGAACTGGTGGGAACCCCGAGCAAAGTGTATCATCAAATCTGACACTGCGATGCACCCAGTTTTCCCGGTTTTCCCTGCTGCATACGCCTCGCGCCTTCGGCCAGGCGCAGCCCTGGCCAGGGGACGCGAAATGCTGAGCGGTGCGGTATGAATCGGAAGACAGTTTGACACACTGGCGACACGCAGACACGCACCGAGAGCGCCGCCGCCAGGACGGCCGGGCGGAGCGCGGTGGGTGGAGTGGCGCGGGGGACGGGGTGATATGTTCTGGTCGTGCGCTCTTGGTTAGCTCCCAGAACATATGTTCATCGGTAGGGTTGGAAGGAAGCGTTGTAATAACTGAGACGTAGGGTTGGTGCTCCAATAGACTGTGTATTCAGACTAGATGCTCAGATACAACACTGACTACAACTTGAACAGACAAATTCCTTGACAACTCCCGCAGATCGTACAAGGTATAGTTGATACAAGATAACCTTAGACACACTTCAAGAGGGCCGTGACTATGACGTCACGTCCATACACATCAGGGGGCACTGGGGCCGGTCCCTTATTCCCCCCGGCCAGGCCAGCAGGCGCAGGCCAGGAGACCTCTGGACGCTATGTAGAGGTTCACGGTTCGGTAAAATTACGGCGCATCGTTACAGGCATCGACGTGAAAATTGGAGACGCGTTACAGAACAAGATTACCTAAAGGGTGGCGGTCGCCAAATTTCCATACCTTGCGCACAGCCGCTCTGGCTGTGGCTCAACTTCATTCAAAACTTCTAAGCTAGAAATTTAACGCATCAGATTTTCGGGAAAAAATCTAACCTGACCGGCGGCAAGGATGACTCTTAAGGAAGGCACGTGCAAAGTTGCAGAATTTTTGGTCAAGGCGTTTTCGAGAAAACAAAATTTACGTATCGGTCTACATTGCCTCCCGAGTCGGCGCGCTCCGGCCAGCGCGCTCGGCGGGGCTCACTTTAGCCTCCTCTTAATGCCTCTGGAAGTGCATGAAAATTTAGCCTAAAAGTCCTATACCCTAGGGCATTTAACGAATTACACCTTTAAGGGGCGTTAAAGACTGTTTATGCCCTAAAGGGCCTAGTTTTTATGCCTTTGTTTTACCAGTGATGTATTTGGTTTGTAATTCGAAGAAATAGTTCGTAAATGACGCGCAGTATTTTCTTTGTAAGCCTATGTATGCATGCTTACAAAGAAAATAATGCGTACAGCATGCTGTTTTTTCTTTGTAAGGTTGTGAAAGTGTGGCTGGCGCTGCGGGTAGTCGGACCATGTCAAGAAACTTTGTTCCGTGTAGGTGATGGAAAGCTCGGAACGATCCACTCGAAGCTGAAAGTCCGACAGTCCGGGTCGCGCAGCTGGCCACGACGCGTTAGGACTCGCGGCGTGAGTCGCGTGGCGTGTGGGTGTCGCGGTTCCAAGAATCGTGACGGAAACGTCAACTTCGTGATTTGCCTTTTGGGTGTGAGTTTGCGGTTTACCAAAGCCAGGAGGCACAAGTAATCGTTACTGGCAGAAAACATTGACCACTCAATCAGGGGGCCAAGCTTATCGACGGGTTAACCACTCGAGTAACACGCCCGAAAACCCTGCACAATAACAACGTTACTCGCCGTTATTCAACGACTGTGACGTCATAGAATTTGAAATTTGTCTCGTTCGTTTGAATACGATGCCACGATTGGTTTGAAAACTCTCATCCTTCAATCGACATTTTATCAAAATTCATTGACGTTTGTGCGCAATAATAGAGTGTTTACAACGACATTCAAACGAAATTAACATCAAATTCAAACGAATGTGGCAACGAACGTGACAAAATCCGCATTGAAACGACAATTACGTCACGAATAACAGTGCAGACTGTGTATCACGGCACGGCACGTCGGGGTGCTGCCACGCACGAACCACACAGTGAGAGGCTGAAGACCCGTAGGTGTTGTAATCTCCATGGTCCTCAAACAGGACTCGAATCAAGGACCAACAACAGATCCCTCGGCGAACCCTTGATTCAAGTCCTATTCGAGGAATGGACTTTAAAACGTTCCCCGAAGCCATGTCAACGTCAACTGGGTGTCCTCCTCCATGGTCCACTGTGCTAGTCAAGTCCACCAAAACGTTGGGAGTCAGTCGTTTTTGCTGAACACGTAGAGATAAAAGTATTGTCGGTCCAATAACAAGCGTGACGATTCCTTTTGTTGGTTCAACAAGCAATCTGCCGGCAAAAACGTTCGTGATTTTTTTCTTGATTTGATTTGTCGGATCATCTTTGCTTTTCTCCGCGAATCCGCACCCGACGGCACCCCAACCAAGTCGCAGACGATGTGTAGCGAGTTTGAAACGGTTTGAAAGCCGTCGGTTCGGGTCGAGCCTGCCGCCTGGCCGCAGCAGAGCTAGCCCGGCAGAGCCGCAGCCGCAGACACAGGCCGTTTGCGTAATCGCCACTCCTCGGCGTAGATAAAGGATGTCTGGCTGATTACGAGGCAGGACGGGATTAATTAAGTTGGTCCTCCTTCGGCGAAGCTTCGCTGCTCGCTCGGCGCGTAGGTGGGAAGCGGGGAACGGAACAAGGGAACAGGGTCGCCGTCGTGGGACGGGGCCGGCCTTGGGGTACAGTGCGTCGCGCTCCGTCGGCACTAGCCGCACTACTGCCTTGTTGACGCACTCCTCTCTCTCTCGCGCCGAGGCGCCGAGGCACTGAGACGGGCGGGGGTACGCCGGCCAGCCCAGCAGTGGGTCAGGAGGTAGGTGCCCGTAGGTGCCATTCGACGAGGCCGTAAAAGAGTAAATCTTCTACTGCACTGATAGTGGCTCGCTGCGCCGCGAGTCGCTCCACGCCGCGGCAGGAACCATAGGCCGTCCGCGGCAACCTTATAATTTCCGGCCTCACAATAATTCATCCAGTTAAGTGTGGCTCGCCCAGTTCACAGTGTCGTGCTCAAAGTGTCTCAGCAGCGTGTGTGACCCCACCAATGGATTCCTCGTTCGGAGAGCAACCCATTGGTGGGGTCACACTTTCAGTTCGCGTCCCATTTAGCGAGTCTAGAACTAAACGCGTCTTGAATTTTGGCCGCCTCCACCGGTCTTCTGTCCCACTGTGCGGCGCCCTAACGTTTCGGGATCTCCTTTTGCTGGCTGATTCCCCACCATGTTTCCTCTAAAAACATCCTCCTTGGCCTTTCTTTTTTGCAGACATACTGTCCATACTCCCTTTGGGCGTCGCCGATTAACAAATTTGCTTTGCGTGTTAAGCACGTATCGCGCTAGACCAGACGTTTTAAGACGTGGTCAAATCGTAGAGATAGCAATCTCTGAAATGGTTTCTTTGAAGAGCAATGTTATGTTACCCCGTTCGGGATGTTGCCACAGTCTTTGTGCACACCTGCAGCGGCGGTAAAGGCATTTGCCCAGTGAAGTGGCAACGCCCCGCCTCTGAATTCTCCGTTATCGACGTGAAGAGGCCCTCTAGGCTGCTGTCACGCTGCCGCCAAGCCACACTCCGCGCGCGTCATCAGGGTATGTGATAATCGGAGGAGGCAGCAGTAGAAACGGCCCGCTGAGAAACGAAAACGTATTGGGCCGGCATAGAATCCGCGGCGCAAAAGTGGTCATTTTGACTCGCTACCCCCACCGCCTGTGCTCCCGATCCCGACATTCCCTGTTGCATCTCCGGCCACTGATAGCGCGGGCACACACACACACACCCTCACACAGGCGCGCAGATCGCACACACTCGAGTACCGCGCCGGTTAGCACGGCCGTCATCTCGAGCCACACTAGCCACTGGTGCCGGGCTGGCGGCCTGGCGGCTGGCGGCTGGCGGCGGCCTGCGTATATCTCAACGGGCGGCGCGGCCGGCCGTCAGTCAGCACGAGGGCGGGGACGCACGAGCACCGCCACCACCAGGACGCCGCCGACGCCCCACCCGCCGACACCATGGCGCTGTCCGAAGTGCTCGTCCAGGTCAAGTCCTGCTCGGGGGTCATGATGCTCACCTTCATCATGGGCATGGGCATCGGCTGGGCCTCGCCCGGCATGGAGAAGATGGAGGCGGACGAAGCGCCCTTCGGCAAGGCGGAGATGTCCCAGATCTCGCAGATCGTGTCCATCTTCGACATCGGCGCCATGCTGGGGTCGTGGACCAGCACGCTCGTGTTCACCGTGGCGGGCCGCAAGCAGACCATCCTGGTGGGGCCGGTGGCGCTGACGCTGTGGGTGGTGTTCACGGCCATCGGCACCTCGCCGGGCATGCTGATCGCGGCGCGTATCCTGGCCGGCATGAGCATGGGCATCGTGCTGTCCTTCGCCTTCATCTACGCCGGCGAGGTGACCACGCCCAAGGTGCGCGGCCCGCTCATCCTGGCCACCACACTGCTCATGCCCACCGGCCAGCTGGTGGCCTTCCTGACCGGGCCGCAGGTCAACTGGCTCGCGCAGAGCGTGTACCCCGCGCCCTTCGTCGCCATCCTGTTCCTCTGCATCTTCTTCCTGATGGAGGAGTCGCCGTTCTACTACGCCAGCAAGAACCGCCCCGACGACGTCGTCAAGTCCCTGCGCGCGCTGCGCCGCAACGCGACCGACCAGGAGATCCGCAACGAGGCGGACACCATCCTGGGCGCCATCCGCCAGGAGCGCGAGGACGCCGTCACCATCTGGCAGATGTTCTCGCCGCCGGGCGCCAAGAAGGCGGCCCTCATCGTGCTGGTGGAGTCCAGCTCGCTGGCCCTGCTCGGCGTCACCTGCGTGCTGGCCTACACCAACCAGATCTTCACCAAGACCAACGGCACCATCATCTCCGCCACGCTGTCCGGCGTGCTCGTCATCGTGTTCGAGATCTTCGCCATCTGCTTCGCCATGTACCTGATCGAGCGACTGGGCCGGCGCCTCCAGATGTGCGTGGCCGCCTCCGTCACCTGCCTGTCCATGACCGTCCTGGCCGTGTACTGCGGCCTCATGGAGATCGGCGGCCACGACATGACCGCCTACAACTGGGTGCCGCTGGCCTGCCTGCTGGCCTTCATCGTGGGCGTGGGCGGCGGCATCAACACCATCCCGCAGGTGCTGATGAGCGAGCTGCTGGACCAGCGCGCCAAGGCCGTGGTGGCGCCCGTCTGCATGACCATCATGGCGCTCACGTCGTTCGGCATCAACTACGCCTTCCTGCCCGTCACCGCGTCCTACGGCACCTACGTGCCCTTCGCCTTCTTCGCCGCCACCAACTTCCTCATCGGCCTGTTCACGCTGCTCGTGGTGCCCGAGACCAAGGGCAAGACCCTGGTGCAGGTGCAGGAGATGCTGCGCGGACGGCGCAGCGAGAGCAAGGAGGTGTTGTAGAGCCTTTCGCCCGAGGGTGTGTGCACTATCAAAGCTTGAGACCCGTCTGTTACGCTTGCTACGCTCTATTGCGCCTAAAAATTACCTGAATTCAGCTGAGCAGCCCAAAACAACCAGAAATGTACGTTTAGTTCGGGTAATTTGGGCTTTGGCTACCCCGCTACTATGACTTGTTCTATTTCGGACAGTGACTCGACCATAACTCGAGTGCATTACCCCCTCGCCTTTGTCCGCCAAGAGGCCCTCGTTATCAAACTTTCCTTCAACAATGATTGTCATTTTCGTCCCGTCCAGATGATTCATGCTATGTGAATTCCAGACCGTCAACTGTGTATCTTCTTATTTATTATGATGATTTTTTTTGTAAACCAAACAAGAGCATTTCGTCATGACAAAAACAAAAGTGAGGCTTCTGTGGGATTTCAAAACCAGACAAATTGTTGTTTGTTTGTAAAACAATTATTTTTATTGTCCTATTTTGTATCTATTGACTCAGTTGCTGACACACACGCCAACGGTTTTTTTTCTTTATTTTTGGCAGTGTGTGCCAGTAAAATTCACGACTCGTTGCGTGAATATTGTGCTGTGGTGTGACATATTGTCACTTGTATATATTTAAAATGTGTCTTTTGGGGTATAGAGTAACGTTTTGTGATCTTGAATGTTTCCTGTGGTAGGTTTAAGAAATAAGTTAGTAAATTATTGCTGAGTAGTCGTCTAACGTTCAAGTGGTTATGACAGTGCGTAAAGCGGGGCTTCTGTCAAATCCTGACTGTCCTCTGACAAGTGTAAAGAACAACCTCACTTTTAAGACTGATTCGTCACTGTACAGTGCAAAATGTATCACTGCGCGAATAAACACTTGATCCAAAGTTAGTAGCCTCTTCTTCATGACTCTCCCATTCACGTCACTCATCGATATCTCGATAGTCCTTGTCTTCCGAGATGAGTCGCCGCGTACAGTCACGCAATGGCGTCAGCAGACAGACGGACGGACGCTGGCGAAGACTGCCGCCTCAAGAGGTGATGTCCATTCGCATCTCTTGATATCAGTTTCACAAGAATTGCGTTTGGACAATCAGAACTTGACGCAAGCCGGATGGTGACCCCGTGGACCGGTGACAATGCCTGTGGCAGGGCGAACGGCGAAGGCTGGCTCACCCCGCACGATACACGGCTGAAACAGGAGAGAGAAAAATGAACAGATTCCCGCAGAATATGATTATCATCGACGATAGACTGTGATTTTCCGAGACCGTGGCGGCAAACCGCGCCGCGCCGCGCCACGCCTTTGGTTTCAAAGCGCACACTCCACTCCACTGGCTTTTTCTGCAATAAATCCCGCATCAACTCCCGGCGGGCTAAACACTAAACGCCGCGCGCTCGACTTGCGGAGCTTGCGGATCGCTGTCTGCCTGTCTGCCGCAGCGCGCCCCGCCCCGCCCCGCCCCGCCGCACCGATGGATGGCTCGTGAAATTGCTTGGATGTGCCTGGCCCTGCGGCCTGCCTGCTGGCTGATTCCGAACAATGGTCTGTCTCTCTCGCGCTCATGGCGCGCCCCGCAGGAGAGCGAGAGAGGCAGATTGATGAAGGCACTGTTCGCGATCAACCCTGCGGCCTGCCTGCCTGCCCGCCTGCCCGCCTGGCTGGCTGCCGCCTTTACTGCGCGTCTCCCCGCCGGCACTTTGGCCAAATCACTTTGATTTAAGCGACACGAGGCGAGGGCGTGTCGGAGTGTCCCTCGGCCCAAATTAGGAAGCATCCTTTCAAGCAGGTGAGACACGGCGCGGCGCGTCGCGGGGCCCGAAGCGCAAGCGAAGCGGGGCCCAGCGAGCTCGGCCCAGAGCGCGGCGCGAGCCTCGCCGAGCGCCTGCGGAGTCCGGGGTAGGCAACCCGGGCGACGGCCCTGCGCGGCGGGCCGGCCTATCCGGGGCTCGTCGGGCGCCAAGCGCCAAAGCCCGCCGCCTCAACTCGCCTCGCCCACTGCGCGCCAAGCGAGCCAAGCGCAGCCAAGCGCCGTGGTTCCGCTCGGGGCCATTTCCGCCTCCTGCTGGAGCTGGAGCTAGAGCTCAGTCATTTCGGGTTTCGTGCCGCCGAGCGATATCTTTAGGGGGTACGACTGCCCCTCCCTTTTCCCCGCTCACACCACACCCACACATACACCCTCACATAAACACACACATACACACGCAGGGTCATTGTATATGCCCGTCGGGAGGCTATTACTACGTGACAAAAGGGAGGGAGATCAGAAATAAAAAGCAGAGAAAAGAAGGTCCGTGTTAGGCGATAGTAGGCCTATGGGAGGGACGAGAAATGAGAAGAGTCACCGAGGGGGAGGGGGAGGGGGGCAGGGGGGCAGGGCTGCGACTTAATGCGACGTTCAGGTTTCCCGTCACGCGCAGCCTGCAGTACCCTCCCCTCCGCCCCGCCCCCCGCCCCGCCCCGCCCGCCCCGCCGAGCCCCCGGTGCCACACCTCTTTGCGTCTGGCGGAAGCCCAGCTCGCTCCGCCCCGCGCCACCCCGCCCCACCCCGCGCCACCCCGCCCCGCCTTTGCCAAACCTCCTCAGTTGGCAACTCCGGGCGGCAACTCGGTTCGGCACGACGGGGCCGTCCGTCATCCGGTACCTCATTTCGCCAAGTTTCTCTTTTTAAACAAAAGAAATTAAAAATAAAATGAAAAAAGTCACACGGGCGGTCACTACCATCTGGCCAGTCTGGGCAGCTGCTGTGGCACTGCTGTGGCGGTCGGCAGACTTGTCCTGGGGCGCGCGCCACCGACGCATAAACTTGCGACTAGGGTGACCGGGCCACCAGGACGACCACCAGGACGACCGGGCCGCCAGGACGACCATAGCCTCGGCGCTCAATTAAAACTGGGGCTGGGCCGCCTGGCCCACTTGTCTGCTGTATGGAGAGCGGGCATTACTTTCAGTGTTACGTTGGGGAGACTGCTTTATGCGTGCGGCATTGTGTGTGTGTGTGTGTGTGCGTGTGTGTGCGTGTGCGTGCGCGTGTGTGGGACACGTCATTGTGTTTACGGAGAGCTGCCCGCTCCGCGCTCCCGGCCCGGGCAGCCCGGCCCGGCCCCGCGCAGCCCCGCTGGCCGACTGCCTCTCCGTTGCGTAACTTCCAATAAGCATCGCCTCCCCTCCCCCGCTCCACCCCGCACACCACTTGTTACGACACATTTGAGGCCTCTTAGAACACCGTGCGCGGGGCGGCGGCAGCCCGGGGTGCCGGGCGTGGGGCGTGCGCAAGCTGTTACTTCGAAGCGAACCGCCGGCCCGGCCCCGGCCCGGCCCCCGCCATCCCTTCACAAAGAGTAGCGGCAACAGTAGCGAGCAGGCGCTCCGGCAGGTTAAATTAACTTGCTGTCGCAGAGTGTTGCTGTCATGCTAACGCACCGGGCCCAGCCCAGCCCGGTCGGGAAGGGTAAGGGGCCGTGGTGGAACAAGCAGCAGGCCGCTAGGCAAGGCCGGGGCCGCTGCTGGAACGCCGCTCGAGTGCCGGCAGTTTGGGCGCGGCCTGGAGCCTCCAGCAGGCTGCACCACCGCGACGCTGGGAGCGCTGGGAGCAGTGGAAGTGCTCTGGAAGCGCTGGAAGAGGCAATTACTGCATCACGCCCGGTCGAACTGAACAGCGCGGCGCATGTTTGAGTGCCAGTGCTGGTGCGCGTGTGTGCGTGTTTTAGAGTGCGAGTGTGTGTGTGCGCGCGTGTTTTTGAGTGTGTGTGTGCGTGCGTGCGTGCGGGTCGTGTCGCCTCGTTCTACTTACCGCCCTCCTCCTTGTTCTGGCCGCCGCGGATCCACCCCGGCCTCTCTTCTCTCTGTCTCTCTCCTTTATTCCCCTCCATTTCCTTAACGCCGCCCACTCTGTGTGTGTGTTTTCCCGGTGTTTTTCTTTCCATCTCACTCTCTTCCGCCCCGCGCTGCCGCGCCGCGCTCCGCGTCTTGTTTGACCTAAATATTATTGTCCGTATGTTCCCGCCAATATTTTGGCCGCGCAGCTAAACAAATGGTCTGGAGCCTTGGAGGCGGCCTTGGAGGCGGCCCGCTGCCCCTCGGAGGCAAACACGGAGCCGCGGCAGCGGCAGGCTCGTTCCGAAGAGTCTTGTCGTCGCTCTGTCTCTGTCACACTCCAAGCGCGCTGCGGGGCGGTGCGAGAGAGACAGAGAGTGGCTCGGCCAGGCTCGGCCCGCAGCGCGTCGGGGGAGTGATTGCCATGGAAATGGGTCGGCTTTGACGGCACGGTGGCGACAGGCTGCCGCGGGGCCGCCGGCCGACCGCCGGGTCAGCGCGGACGGACATGCCCAGCAGGACACGCAGCCGGAGCGAGCTGGAGCGACGGGGCGGCCTCGGGCTCGGACGCGGGTGGCGGCAAGCGGACAGCAGCTAGCGGACAGCGGTTAGCGAACGCAGCGGACTGCGGATAGCGGAGCGGATAGCCCACTGCGAACAGCGCCACAAATCTTGCTCAAAAGTAAAACGCGCGGTGGATTAGGCGGAGCGGCGGAGCGGCGGAGCCATAACCCGGACGAGTCTCGGCACTCCGCTCCAGGACTGCAGCGCTCGAGGTGATCCTGGAGATCCTCCAGCGAGCCGTGCGCCTGGAGACGGCCGGGCACGGCTGCCGAGCAGCAGAAGGAATCGGAAACGGCCTGACGATCGGGAAGCGGCGCCGAGCCGAGCCGAGCCGAGCCGAGCCGAGCCGAGCCGAGCGTTTAGTTTGTTTCGCACTTTTGCAGACGGCACGACGGCGGTGCAGCGCGGTGCTCCCCAAGGGACGGCCGAAGGAGATCAGGCCCGGCGCTTCGGCCCTTCGGCCCCCGGAGGCGCGGAAGGGCTCACTGGAGGCGTGGCAGGCAGGCGACCAACTGCAACAAGAAAAAGAGGAAAAAACTTTTCAGAGTGGTGGCAAGGGCCGAGGGGTGGGGGTGGGGCATGGTGGGCGGCATGGACGGCGGCGTGCGGGCTAGCCAGGGCGGCCAGGGCGGCCAGGGCTAGCGGGCTGATGTTGGCAAGTCCTCGACAACAACTAGAGGCAAGTGTCCTCCGTCTCCCCGGCTGCTCGCCGCCCGCCGCTCCCAGCGGTGCGATAGTCAAAGTGGTTCGGACTGCAACCTCCTCGGCGGCACGGCACGGCGTCACTCTCTCCTTCCGCAATTTTCTCCCGCTCCCCTTTCCTCTTTTTTCGGCGGGAAACTGTTAATCAAATTTCCCTTTAAGTCCCCCCGCGGCGCGCTTAGGCGGCGGGCCGTTTCGTCTTTGGCCGTAGTTCCGTTCCAGGCCTTCCAGGCCCCCGGCCCCCGCCCCCGGCCTGCGGGCTGATGCCGGGCACTTGGTCGCTCTGTCTCTGTCGCACTCGTGGAGTCGCGGGGCGTGTCGCGGCGGCGCGAGCGAGACAGGGACGAAGCTGCCTTCGGAATAAGCCCGCTGGCGAGGGCGAGGCCGGCGAGGCCTGCCCCCGAGGCCCCGCAAAGCGGCCTGTCATTAGACGCGAGGTGTCGGCCTCGTCGGCCTCGGAGCGCAGAGCGGCGCACAGCCGAGGCCCCCGAGCGAGAGTCCGTGTAAACAGATCGCTGGAGGGGACGTTTCGTGTAATTTCTCATAGGCGCCGCGCGCTGGGATTACGCCCACCGCCTTCCCCCTCCCCCTCCAGCCCACGCTCGGATGTACAGTACACTGGAGCCTGGATCGGCGACCACCGGGTACCCTGGAGCGGGCTGAGCGGGCTGGAGACGATATTCCCTCCCGAACACAAGAACAACCACAGTTAACGAGACAGCCTCCCGCAGGTTTTTTCCCCCGGCCTCGTCGCCGCCCTTGTTTTCCTGCTTCGTAACGAAGCGGAACTTTGCGGCGGGGACGTCCG